TATATCAAAGCCTTTGGCAACTCATCCATGCCTACAATTCAACCATGTACTAACTTTAAACTTAACTCTAGGTATAATTATACATAGACTTCACATGCATATAATAAGCATGTCCTTCATTTAATAACCGTGTATCTATTACGATTTTAAATCAACCATACCATACACGAATCAAGTCATACCAAACAAGATTTATAATATTTAATAATCTTAAATAATATATATATACACATATATTTTATAATATATATATATGTGTGTATCATACATTCCATACCAATCATTGACTATTTAAAATCATATCTACATATATATACATGCGTACACCTTCTTTCATGGCAAAAATATTTAATTAATTGTATTTATACAAATTACTTGCTACTAAGTATCTTAGTAATACTTTGAGGCTCTCAGAATACCAAGAACACACCCTTAAATGATTAATTTTAACCCTAACAAGCTTAAGATAAATACTGAAAATTCACCGGACTCCCACGCAACTTTCCAGGGCATCACACGCATCCCCACGCGCCTCCACGCGCCGCCACATACTCCTAGACTACTCACACGCGCCTCCACACGCTTCCCCTTACCGGCAGGCGCGTCCACGCGCCTGCACGCGCCTGAGCCACTCTCGGCGCGTGTTGGCAGCTTCCCATTGGCTGTCCCTCCGTTTCTTGGTGAGCTCGCCCACACCGTGTCATCTCCCAGCATTTAATGTACATCCAATGGCCAGATCTTGAAGGCACACCAACTCCCCATAGATCGCGCCACACCAGATCCTCATCAACCATCATCATCACTACCAACAACCTAGATAAGTGAGTGCACCATTCTCCTATGTATACACACACACTGGAACATTCCTATTTCATCAGGACCATCTAATTGTCTTAATTTGAGGCGCACCATAGCTCTGTGTACATCGCGGCACCGAATCACCACCCCTTAAATGATACGCCGATTACACACACCTTCAGTACATATATATATATATATATATATATATATAAACAATACATATATAAATATATATATATACAGAATATATAAAATAACTTCTAAAATCATAAAATAATTCCAGAAAATTTCCATAAAATCCCAGAAAATTCTAGAAAAATCCCCCAAGCTTGATGTAATTATTTTGAGCCTAACTGAACATATATAATTAAATTAAGATCTATTTAATTCAATTCATCATGCTACACCAGGCTAAAGCAATCTATAAAAATTTCTCAAAATAAAGTTTAATTAAACTAACCTCACATACAAGATTTTAAATTATCAGAACATTGCATACATATATTCACATGTTTAAATCTAAAATTTTGTAAAGAATAAACATGCTCTTCTAATCCGATTAATAATTTATTTTTAATTAACAAAATAAAAATATAATTTTGATACTCAAGGTGATAAGTTTATGAATTTTAAGAGGAGAAGTAGAGAATAACTCGCTTTTTCTTTTCCAAATCCGGTCTCCTCTTACGTTCTTTGATTCGGCCTCCTCTTCGTTAGCCCTTCTTCTCTCTCTAATTCTCTTATTTTCCTAACGTGGAAAAACTCCTAACCCTAAAGTCTTATGTGTCTATTTATACACATCCAAAAACCTAAATCATTTTCCCATTAGGATTATTATCATATAAAATAAATAATATTTATCTTTTAAATAATATATATACATACATATATTTTAATGTAAATATATATATATATATTACCTTCCATATATAACCATTAGTTAAATAAATTATATATACCTATATATATCAATATATAATTATATTGACATATATACCCCTCCACATGATTTAATAATGAATTAATATACACATGTAATTATATAGGTATAATTATGCAAAGATAATTATTAAATATCCTCACAACCACGGGCCTTTACCAATTAGCCCAACAAGGCTTCCTTCAAGCCCAATACCACATCCGTTGGTCCAACTTCCTTTAATCCCAATCCAAATAACTTAAATACCTAAAATAATGAAATTAAATAAAGTTACACCAACATAAAATCACGCAAATCAAATAAACAATTCACTAACTAGCATTCCACAAATCAAACACCGTATAAATTTAACAAATAAAATTACAAAATATAATTTAATTAAAACAATACAATTTACCTACGCACTTAATTAAATAAAACAAATCACAACTATCAAGCACCTAATTAAATAAAACAAATCATTTAAAAATAAAAATAAAAATAATATAATATAAATTAATTTAATTAATAAATCCTTTTTAAAATATCGGGGTATTACATACACCTTTGAGGGATCACTATATTCCAACAACTTATACATCTACCTCATGCTTTCAATTTCTGTATGCTAATGCAACCCATTTTGAGATCAAACCAGATATAATCCGAATGCTTCCTTCATTCCATGGGTTTGCTACTGTGGATCCCTTTAAGCACTTGGATGAGTTCTGAGAACTATGTTCAACCACCAAACTGGCAACTCTGTCTAATGATGCTTTTAGGATGCGTCTTTTCCAATTCTTTCTCAAAGATAACGCAAGAACTTGGTTGTATTCCCTTCCAAATAATTCAATTGGAACCTGGGACAAACTGCAACAAGAATTTCTAAAAAAATATCACACTGTGGGTAAAACCACCCAAATGAGAAGAGAAATCATGGCGTTCTCCTAAATCCAGGGGGAACAACTCCATGACACTTGGGAAAGATACAATGATCGAGAAAATGTCCACACCATGATATTGCAAAATGGCATTTGGTGCAAATATTTTATAATGGGTTAGCTGATCCTCATAAGAACATGATAGATTCTTCTAATGGTGGTGCATTTCTTTTTAAGAGTACATATGAAGCTTGGGAACTCTTCGAGGCTTTGAGTGAGAATTCTATCCAATATGCTTCTACTTCTGGGTCGTACTCTAGGTCCACTCCTGATGTCTATGTCACGCCCCGACAATTCCAATAAAATCCTCAATTTATATAGATTCAAATACATCAAAATACACCCAAGATCATAAAAATTATCCCCTCTTTTATACAAAGTCAATTTCCTTAAATATACAAAAAAATCTCCAATTAAAAGAATAAAATAAATCCTGTAACGCCGACTCTTCATCCTAAGCCCGTATCTAGCAATCCCCGGTCATCTTCGGTACCTGAAACTGGAGGGTGGTGAGACAAAAGTCCCAGTAGGAAAAACCATAACAAGAATCTCATGGAGGTTTAATAAAATAGCTTCACAAAACATACATAATCATGTGAGTATATAGACAAAATAATTATGCATTTAATCAAAACATTTAATCAAATCATTTGAAACAAAACCACTCCATGCCATTCAAGGTATAGAGAACCCTACACTGAAAATCATCAAAACTTCAAGCTCCAAGACCTCCTCTGCAGACTCTCGGACCTCTCTTTCTCTCAAAACTCTCTGTCTCGGCTCACTTTATTTTTCTCACATTCTTTCTTTGCATAATCATCAAATGCGCAAGCCCAATATATAAGCAATTTCACTGACTTACAAAATAAAATATCCAATACATCATTACAAATGGACCCACAACTTTATTTTCCTTGTCTTACTTCTTCAAAACACCCAATATGACCGTCTCATACCTGAAACCTCAAAACTAGAGTCAGTTATCTGTACTATTCTCCAATGGAATCCCATAATCATTTTCTAATTGTATAACACCCAAGCAATATGAACATTTATCCTTAAGTCACTACTAAAATCAATCACCTCTACAATCATCCGAATACATGAGCCATATCACATCACTTGATTATTCTCAAATTGCAATTCATGACACATTCCCTAGCTACCACCGCGAATAACAAACATTAGAAATACAAACCTCATTTGGCAACTCGTGGCTCAAATTCTACTGGTCAAAACCATCCTCAAAATAAGCACTACAAAACTAAAGGCTATACCTCATTATCACTTTGATGCAAATATATATATATAATAAAAACATACCAAATCAATTCTCATGGGACCCGCAACACAAAATCTCAATTTTCTCTTCATTCCTTTCCACTTCCGCAACAAGTATCCCCACAACAGACCTCATATATATATATATATATATATATATATATATGAACTATATAAAATAACAAGACTAAACCTCCACTAAAACATACTCTAAAATAAAATAATAATAATAATAATAATAATAATAATAAAATTATAATTTAAAATCTAAAAAAAATCCGGGTCATCACAGTCTATAAGGTAGAAAGTTTGTTTGCAATTGAGAAAACTCAAGAGTTAGCTATTCAAATAAAAGCATCGAGGTTTTTAGCCAAAAACTAGCATGGCCCACAAGTTAAAGATAGTGGGTTTTTCACAAAAGGTAGTTTACACCCAAAAATGACTCCTCTAAGGTCGAAAACAGATTTGTTAAACTGCTTGTCAAACGGTTTAGAATTCATTCCTACATCAATTAGATATTAAAAAGCCACTTTTTTTTTATTTTCACCTAAGGTCTCAGATTATATTGAGCCGCCCCGGTAGAGTAGAGTGGGTGTAATTATGAGATATAGTATGTTATACTTTGCTTCGAGATATTGAATAGTTTAGTTGGAGACTGCGAAAGTCTCCATAATTTTTGTCATGGTATCAATCTATAATTCTCCATTTACTTGCACTTTACTTTTGCTTTGTGAATTGTTATTTTTATTTTATTTTTGTAAAATTAAACTAAGCATAAATGGGACAAAGTAGCAAGTTCAATCTATTGAACTTTCTAGGTATTTTGTCAAATTTTTATTCCACAACCATTCCGCATAGAGAGCGACTCACGTAATGTTCATCACCAAATTGTTGTGGTCATTTCCAAGATTCCTATTGCATCAACTATCTCAAATATATGGGATAATAGAGAAATTAAATTGGGTAACAATTGGATTGGTTCAGAGTTTGGATACAAGTTAGTGATTGTGTTTGAAGCACCTCAAGGGTTAGGATCTATGACAAAGTTGAAGGACAAATGATAAGAAATTACTTTTTAATATTCATTTCAATCATCTTACAGTACTACAGAGGAGGAATGAAAAGCTTGTCTATTTCCTAATTCACTTCCTCTTGTATTCAACATCATTGTGATGATACAAACTGAACTGTAAAAGGAAAGGGAAATGAAGATGGCTCAGCTAGGCGACTGTGGATTTGGAAGAGAAGAAAGCAACAGCCCCAACAAACGGTGCATTGATATAAGTAGCCGGTTCAGATTGCTGGTAATTGTTTCTATCATCAGAGAAATTGTCTTTACTATCAGGACCTCCCAAGATGGCTCCAACAAGGATATTTGGATTGGGTGAGCCAGAGTACAGGTACTGAAATCCATTGTTGCATGAAATGGGATCAGGATGTGCATGTACAGATGGTACAGAGGATCCCCTGTGGTGGACATGCAACGGATACCTCTGTCCGAACCCCACCATATACGACATCTTTGCCGGATTATCACCTAATATGTAATCAACTTGCTTCTTTGCCAGTGAAATGAGCTTGTCTGCCGCGAAAGTCGAAGTCCCACACGAGACAACTCCACCATTTGAGCTTAGATACTTGGAGTATGTCAAGAGGAGGAAAGCTGAAGTAGTAACATATTGTAGATTGCTCTCACTTCCTTTGTAGAGTAGTCCCCCTGTCAACAATTATATTAAACATTCAAGAATCCTATTACCGTGCTGTGACATTCTAATCATTACCAATGATTAATGTTAATAAACAGAGGAAGATCAAGATGAAGGGGGAGTGCTGTATATGAATATGACCTGGAGTATATTGGGCCTGGAATTTGGGTGATCCTGGAATCAGCGAGCATATGTAGTTGTCAGAGTGTGCTTTATACAATTGAAATTCTTGGGTGTTATGCTCTAAGAAGTCCTGTGAAATAAAAAACACTTAGTAAGAGATTTAATTATAATCTAATAAAAGATTTTGGACCATCAACAAGGCCTAAGTTAAGGAAGAAAACCTTGGAAAGAAGAACCTTCGTTCCAGGTCGCTTATCGTCCCAACTGAATGAATAGTCATCTTCATCTGCACCCATTGTGTGACCGTTGGTCTGAATGTAAGCCATGTAGGAGGGATTCTGTGAAGCTCTGTGAATCCAAGATGCACCCCACAGAAGCTCATCCTGATTCAAAAAAAAAAAAAAAACTATGATTGAGATCAAATATATAATAAGCAAGAAGCAATATATATATATGTTTGTTGATCTTACATGGTAACTTGAGTAAGAGCAATAAAATGGACAGACCACCGAATTGAGAGAGTCACTGTAAGCTCCTCTGTACTTGTCTGCAAAATCGAATACCTGCACAACACAAGCAATTTATTATGAATGGTGGGTGGAAGTTGAAAATTGGGAGAAATGAAGGTGAGTGCAGTTTGTGCTTACTTCCATTGCAGTTTGAAGTAATTTAGTGGAATAAGCATGGTCGGAGTCTTTGAAGACGATTGAAGCTGCAGCCAATGCAGCTGCTGTTTCAGCTGCAACATCCGATCCTGGGTTTTGAGTGGACACTTTGTATACATTCCGTGGTGTGTCCATGTCTTCGGGCCTTTCCCAGCACTTGTGATCCATGTTTGGATCTCCCACTTGGACATATAAGGTGCCAGGGGTTGCTGTGGCTGCTTTTAAAAGATAATCTGTACTCCAGCGTAGGGCAGCTCTGGCATTGCCGATCTGGTCTTGCATGGAGCTACCAAACTCGATAATACTCCATGCTAATAAGGTAGTTGTAAATGCCATTGGCAGCCCAAACTTCACATTATCGCCAGCATCATAGTATCCACCAGTAAGGTCAACCTGAATGTAGAATTATTAATTAATCAGATCATAATAATGTATGTGGTAATTGATGGATCGATGACACACACACACACACACACACACACACACACATATGCAAATAATAAAATTGTGTAGTACATGAGCAGAGGAACCATCGGACAAGCCAGAGTCAGCCCTCCAAGTGAGGCGTTGGTTAGAGGGTAGCTTGCCAGACCTCTGACCCTCAAAGAAGAGGATTGATTTGGAAAGAGCATCAGAGTAATCTTTGGAAGTAAACGCAGAGCAATGCACGAAGGCAAGGGAGAAAATCGACCATATTGTGAACAATGAACATTTTGTACTAGTAAAACCCATTATACCCGCAATGGTGCTAGTAGTACTAGTAGTAGTTGTGTAGCAAATACTATGTAATGATGCGAAAGTGTATTAACAGTACTGCTACCATGCACTAGTACTATAATAATAATAAGTAGGGGAGGGGAGGGTTTGAGTTTGGTTAGAGGTGAGGGTGGTGTGGCATTTATACATAGAAGATGGAGGAAGTCACGGAGTAAATTTGTGATAGTCACGGGATAAATTGCGCCAAAGGAGAGACGTTTTGTTGTGACACCAACGGATAACGGTGGGAAGTTGAAACGTATCTATAAGACAAGAATACAATATACTATACTATATCATTCTCACTATTCAATCCCATGTCGTCAACCAACTTAATAATTTCTCTTCTTTTCTTCCACACACACATATACATATATACACACACAGCAAATACAATACAATAATATAGGTAGAGATTTGGAGACTTTTAACGGAAAATAATGGTGTCACTGATAATACTGCGTGATTTAGGACCGAAATATTTGGAAGTTAACTTGACTTTCAACGGAGAAAAAAAAAAGGCTTATTATGTGTTGATGGCGTAATTAAAGGATTAAAATTATGTGTTGATGGCGTAATTAAAGGATTTTAATTTAATTTGGGGTGTGCTTAGAAGAAGTATACAGCCAAAGACGAGAGCATGTTATTTGTCCATAACAAGTCATGGAGGGAAGGACTTAGAAATCTGAATCACGAGTGTGCTACTGCTACATATACAAAGTCGATTATATTCTACTCAAATACCAAACAAAAAAACTGCAATTATCCGGCACCGGAAACTGAGGTGGGGGTTACCAATTTGCATGATACAATTTTCGCTATTTCCATAAGCATTAATTATTCACCAAGATATGAAAATTACTCAATGCACGTGATTCATGCTGGCCCCAACAAGGCTTTTTGTAGTTATTCTTTGCAAAAAATCAAACATGATACAAAATTCTGATGGTGACTTAGAAGCTAGTCAGTTACAGTAACCTCTAGATAGTGGGTGTTTAAAATAAATCCCATTTTTTTTTTTTTTTTTTTTTTTGACAGACTAAAGAATCCAGAATAAGTAACCAACAGCAGCCCCATGTTTGATTGATTTTAAGAGACTTGACAGAGCGCCATGCGGCTTGATTTTTGGCTCTGTTACCTTATATGGACTTTCCACTGCAAACAAGACAACAACAGAAGCTCAAAGCGTGGATTTTTATTCTCCTCTTTATGACTTCCACAACACTAATAAGAGCCCAACAAAGGATTCTTTTTTTCGGGGACCCGTGACCAAATCAATTTGGAATAAACTACCAAAAATATAGCGACAACATCCTCCTCCTCCACCTCTTATTACATGTGAAAGGAGCAGGGCCATATGAATTCTCTTTTTCTATGCACTATGTATTCTTTAAAATTTAAATTTTTTAAGTTAATTTTAATTATTCATTTCAAGTAAGTTTTGACCATACTACCTAAGTCTACTTTTTCTATTTTTATCATTTATAGATGTTATATCTAATGTTTCTCTCACATATCTCTTGCAGTCATTCCTATCAACCAACGTAATACCATCATTTCCACTCCATAAAAACATTGTATTTATGCTTTTTTCAACAGCCAACACTCAGCACAATGTATTATTGCCCACCTATTGACCATTCTATATATTTTTTGTTTTAATTTATTTTGTATTTGTTTGTCACAAAGGAAACAACTAATTTGCCTCCATTTTGTCCATTCGACTTCGATCCCACTTGCTATATCACCATCTATCTTTCCATGTTTTTGTAATATTTATAGATTTTAGGTAACAAAGAGTTCTTTTGAATAATTCTTTCTCTTGAAGTATCAACGTTTTCTACTTTATGAAATTTATGTCATGTATTTCATTTTGATTTTCCTAATTCTTAAGCCCTTAATTATAATGTACCTTTCTTCATATTTTTAATTTTGTTGATAAGGCTTCCTCACAGGTATCTATTAATACTATGTCATTCACTAATAACATAAACCATGTGATGTCTTCTTGAATATCTTTTGTTATTTCGTCTAATATTATCACAAATAGATATGGACTCGCAGTGATCCTTGGTGTACCCCTACCTGTCATTGTCTCATTATACATATCCTGAATAAGATTTATAAGTTTTATTGTAACGACTCGAATCCAAGGATCCGAATCGCTAACTAAGTTCTTACCCGAACCTGAGGTCATCTAACGGCACTATGATCAATTCCAAGGTCGATACTGTACACACAAATTTTGTAAGTCTGCAAATACGAAACAAAATAGGGGAAAATGTAATATTTATTAATTGATAATGATGGAGTACAATCCTTTGTAATATTCTTTACAAAAATAAAGGTCCTTTGATTCGATCTCCTTTTTGATTGGTTGGATCCAAGGGCTGCACGAGTTTGATCTTGAATCATCGTGGAATTTGGATGAAGAACGGCACGTCTTTGGATGTGCTTGTTGTTGATCATCGTGGAATTTGATGAAGAACGACACGTCTTTGGATGTGCTTGATGTTCTTCGCTTTTGGTTTTGGATTCTGAATTTGTATCTCTGACTTCTGAGTCTTTGGATTTCGGAGTCTCTGGATTTCTGGACTTCTGAATTCTGAATTTGTGTACCCCTTCCTTCTTCCTCCAAGCCACTATTTATAGGCTGTTTAGATTAATAGGATGATGACACGTGTCATCTCCTGATAAGGATAAAATCATAACTGGCCGAGTCGGTTATATTATGATAATTATCCTTAAAAATAATTATTCCAAATATATTTTATTAGGAATAATTATCTTTCAATTTAATCATCTGGGCTGGACTAATTAAATAATTTAAGTGGACCAAGTTTGGGCCAATTAAATAATTTAATTAAACGTTAGACCTATATTTAATGGGTCTATTTGTCAAAACCAAAGCCCATTAAAATTTTAGTGTCTACAAATTGCCCCCACTTCGAGTCCCAAGTTTGACAGGATTTGTTTTCTTTTTCAAGTGGGACTTGAAGTATCCAACTTTTTATTTTTATTTTTTATTTTTATTTTTTTATTTTCACTTTCCTATCCAACTTTGGATGGTAAGATTTCCTCTTTTGCTTTTCTATCTGACTTTGGATTGGAATTTTACTTTCCTATTTGAACTGAATTATACAAATCTCAGTACAAATAGAAGATATTTTGTTGCCTATATATACGACCCATGTCATAGGGTTCCATATCAATTTCAATCGCCTCTGAAGGACTTGTAAGATTGCGGGTGAAAATCACCTCTAGTCGCACAGTGCACAAGTTCCTTCATTTTGGAATGAGTGAAGGAGAAATGGCCAAGTCACTTAAAAAAGTGGGTAAAAAAAAGTAACTGAAGTTGTATTAAATGGTGTAATAATATAGTATATTTGTGTAATAATACAGTATATGTTATATTTATACGGCATATTGTCCATTTAGCCCTTACTTATTGTATGGAATTGTCCATATAGCCCTAGCCCTTACTTTACAGAATTTGTAAGGAATGCAAAGAAGAGAAAGAAGGAACAAGGTCTGCGTGGGTTTGCGAAGAAGAAAAAAGGAAGAAGGTCCAAGGAAGAAGGTCGTTTGAAGGTCTGCGTAGGAAGAAGGTACTTTGTTGTGTGAAGAAGGTCTACGTGGGTCTGCGAAGAAGGAAGAATTTGACGGCCCAAGTCTTTCAACCCGGTGCATCAGTGATGAACCGAAAGTTGATCCGATAACGGATTCGGAAATGCGGAAGCGAGATAAACAAGGTCTATAGAGATATCAATCATCCTTAAGACAACCAAGTGACTTTCCATGAAGTCATGAAACTCAAAGAGAACGAAAGTAAAAACAAAGGTCAAAACGGGCTAAATCCATTAACCAAGGGCAAAATGGTCAATTCACAAATGAGAAGAGAAACTTGACTCTAAACAAGTCAAAAAAGGTGAAAACAACCTAACCTAGTCATTTCACAACATTCCAAGAGGTTCTAAGAACTTTAGCCAAGAATCCCACAAAACGCCCATTCCCGGTTTAAGCAAAAATTGACACTGTCTCACTTAAATATGAATAAATCACATTGTGATTTTAATATGAGAATGGCATTGGTATCATTGGAAATATGACTTAAAATTCATGAATTTAGGCTCAAGAATCACCCCATTTGGATTAGAAATGAAAAAGATATGACCGTTTGAAGTCAGAACATCAATATTGAAACAAAACTGAAAAGGCTGGTGAATGAGAGCTATTTCGGTTGACCGAACTGGAGTTTCGGATGACCAAACTGGGCAAAAACTAGCCTGAAAACATGTTTTTGAAGGGAGGTTGTTTTGGTAGACCGAAATAAACCATCAGTCGACCGAACTGGGCACAAACGGTGAAAATGGCTATTGGAATGAGTGTTTTACTGTTCATTGAAGTTTCCTAAAGCCATTGGTCGATTGAACTAGCATTTTGGACGACCGAAATGATTAGAAAAGCTACTAAATGACCTGTTATGCACAAGAAATGTTGAGGCTTTACCCAAGCCTTAAACCCCAACATGAAATCGGTCCAAAAACATGATTTTAAGCTATGTAAGCATGCCAACAAGTATACTTTAAGTATTGAAGTGTGTTACAATGGCCCATGGCCTCATTACATGTTATTTACTCCAAATCACATGCCAAACCTCCAAGTTAGAAAATTTACATTTCAAAGGCAAAACTTAGAATTTAAATGCATACACTTGAACTTTGAAGTTTGTGACCCTTGGCCTCATGTCATACATATCAATTAGGTTCCAAATATCGTGTCCAAGTACACTTTACATATCATAAAGCAAAAATGACATAATTGAACCTAACTAAGTATTACAACATTTAAAGGCAAAACTTAAACATGCTAACACTTGCATGTGAACAAGAATGTATCAAAAGAAACTTCAAATCTGCAAATCACCCAAGGCAAGTGCAAATCTCCATATCTTGAATCCTGTACCTGAACAATACCCCCAGTAATTTCAGGGTGAGTAAACAAGTTTACTCATAGGGAATGAGCATGCATCGACTCGATTTCTCACAAATTTTTACATTAACATAAAACAATTCAAAAGGGTCATGCCA